CCCTTGGGGGTACTTGGACCAGTCCTAGGGGGTACGCACAGGCGGGCAGGGAAGAAGTGCCACCGCCTCCCAAGAGCAGAAGCGAGGGCAGTGGTGCCCCCCTGTGAGGCAGGGAAGCCTGCACATGGCGGTGGCCGCTGTCATACACCAGATCAGTGAGCTTCCCCACCCGGCCCTGGTCCTGCTCCTGGCACACGGCAGTGCTCCCAGCTCACCCGCCTGCCTGCGGTCCCTGCCTCCCAGCTCTGTGTCTGGCCACGTGCAATCTCCCCTCCATCCTAGGTACTTAGACTAAAAAAGGTTGAAAAACCCTGATTTAACCGATAAATGCAGTGATAACTGGTTAGCTTACTTTAGCTCAGGGCCAGGGTACGGAAGAAGGCAAGTGGTGCCCCGGCAGGAAGTGGAAGGCAGCAGGGCAGGCAGGGAGGAGGAGAGGGGAAGGGGGACAAATACCCATAGCCTAAGAGGAAGCAATTAGCTGCTTATTCTCAGGTGCTCCCTCCCTCCCTTCACAGGACTTCACATGTATTGTGATGTCTGGCTAGGCTTGCCTACCTCCCTCTTCCCAGTCAAAGGGCTCCAGGAACCGGGAGTGGCTCCCAGCTTGCAGCTGTGTCCAAGCTGCTGTGTTGTTGGTTAATTGTTTATCCAATATAATTAGAGGAGGTTAAACAGATATTTTTAAGTGGTATTTACATCCCTACATCAAAACCCAGAGAAGGAGAGTAGAGGGGTGGGGGTGAAGGTGGGGAGGGGGAAGAACGCCTGGGAAATTGAAGATGGTACCCTTTTCAAAATGTTCCCTTTAGGTTAAAGGAGTTTCAAGGAGGGTAGGGAAGAGAAGATAGCTGTCTTTAATCTAAACAGTTCCTTGGATCTGCTTGGGTCATCAGAAAATGTACTACTACCGATGGGCTTTCTTTCAGAGATTAAGCTTCCATTCATCTCTGAGAAACTATACTCCCTTTAACCAAACCTTTCCCCCATCACAGCAAAATTAATCTCCCTGACACCGTTTTTAAAAATTGTTTCCTAATGTTCTAATCTTGGAGTCGGCAACCTTTTACTTAAAAGGTTGCAACCTAGTTTGTGCCGCGGGCCAGTATTCCCCTCTGGCTGCTCCAGGAACACAGAGTAGAGGCTGTAGTAAGAGAGAGCAGCCCTCCACGCAGGCTGCAACAGCCAGCTGGAGAGTCTGGAGGCGATGGGTACGCCATTAATAAAGCCCAGACCAGATCAAACAGCTAGTGATTGGTACCTTTAGTAAAATGTGGATTGGAGTGAGCCAGATCCAGTTTCTTCGTGAACTGGATCCAGCCCACGGGCCATGAGTTGCTGATCCCTGTTCTAATCCCTGTAGTGAAAATAGAGATACTTTTTCCTCTTCTTGGACTTAACAGTGAGGTGTGAAAGCATCTCTTTTGAAGAAACATATTTTCAGTTTTAAACGCTGTATTTTGGGGTCTGGGCATTGTAAATTAAATGTACAGCTAGCTATTGCAAATATCTTGATTTAAAGATAAAAATATAAACAAATATAATGGGGGGAAGACATCTTTCAGCAGAAGTTAAATTCATGTGTATTTAAAAAAAAATCCAGTTTTTTATAAACTTGTCAGCATATCAGTGTGACCCTCGCAAAAGTGTTTGTTAAATAAGGCAAACAGTTTCTTAGGGTTTTTTCTGAGATGTTTCAAAAAATGTCTGAGTGATGGCTAGTTAGTTTAGATTTATGGCCTGATTTTTCCTTACCCACAATTAATCCATATGCATCAGTAGGAATTCTGAAAATATCAATTTGTGACGCACAACTCTGCCCTCTCCTCGCCACTCAAACCCTTAATTTGAATATCATCATTTATTCATTCCTCTCTCTAGACCACATGTCCAAATTGTGCTACATCTCTAAGATCTGGCCTCTGGTCAGCACCCACAGCTAAAGCACTCATTTAGCCACGCATTAACTCTTATTTCAGCTATTGCAGTCCTCTTCCTTCTGAGTCTCGACAATGAAGTCTTGCCTTTCTTAAATCCATTCAAATTACTGCTACAAAAATAATCTTCCTAACATATCTTTCCAACCATGTTATTCCCTTCTGCACGCCTCCACTGACTCCCCATTGTCCACCACATGATATACATATACTTCTCATTCTTGTCTTCATTTTAAAGCTGTAATGTTTACCAGATTTTAGGTACCAATAGGCTGCCAACCCCTCTCTCTTCCAAAGGTGCCGGCTTTTGTTGCCCATTAGTCAAATATCCCCATAAATGTAAATTGTACTTTCTCCCTTGCCGTTTTCTGTGCATGAAAATATGCATAAAATAGTCATTATATTGCCTACTTTCAGATCTCTTCTTAAAATTCACCCGTGCATAAAGTTAGCGTAAAGCCTAACTGTAGCTAGAGCAGTTAATATGCTGTATCCGCTGTTTGTTATGCTTATTGTAATAGTCTCATTTCTACCTTGTGCACCCATCTCTTTGTTGTATCTACCTGTTTCTCTTTGCTTATTCATAGATTGTCAATTTTCTGAGCAGGGATCATCTTGGTTGTTTGTACATGCAAGGCCGAGCAGAACAGGAGTCAGATCCCATATTGAGACTTCTAAGCATTACCGCAGTGCAAATAATTACTGTATTTAGTTGAATCTAACTTCACTCTGAATTTAAGACAACCCCCCCAATAATTAGATTCTATATTTGGAAAAAGATATAGGTTTGTTATAATTTTCCAGGTATAGAATCTAATTATCAGCAGGTTGTCTTGAATTCACTCTCCCTTCCCTTCCACTGCTGCAGCAGGGAAAACAGTGCTTGGGGTGGTCAAAAAGCCTTCTTGCCCTCTGCTTCCTCCACCTTTTCCTCTGCATCCTTCCTAACCCCTTGCTCCCTGCCACCAGCACCTCCACCCCACCACTCTGTGTTCTCTCCTCTTTTCTTCCTCCCATCTTCTTACTGGCAGACCTACTGCCTGCTCTGTCCACTCCTGGAGCGCAGCATGTGGGAAGCTCAGCCCTTGCCTGGGCATGCAGCAGGGCCAGAGTTGCTGATACACCAGGCAAGGGACAGAGTTTCCATGTGTTCTGTGCTGGGGAGGAAACCCAGCGTAAGCCAGAACCAAGTGCCCCTGACAGTAAGGGCAGGGGGAGAGCAGAGATGGAGCAGAAGATTCACAGGGCAAGTGGGGTGGGGCAGGAGGCTGCTGTGGGTCGGACTGGCTCTGACCCAGATACAAGGCCTGAGTCAGAGCTGCAGCAACCACCTCCCCTCTCTCCGCTTTGTATATAAATCTAACACAAGGGGCTCTTTCCCCCTATGCTGATTGGTTGGGGTGGAACCTTGTTTTAGATTTGAGCAAATATGGTAATTAATAATGCTGGCGTTTCACCATCTCCTCCCCCAAAATGCATAGCTCCTCTAAAAGCACAACTCCTGGATGATCCTATGAGATGAATGGTTTCTACATGGCTTTATCGTCCCACCAGGAACAGCATGAGTTCTTGCTGATGCGTTATATGGAGCTTTCCTAACAGCTAGCGTTTTTAAGGGGAATGACTATAAACCTCAGGTTAGGAAGCAGTTACATTTTTGCAGACTCCCATCTGTGGTAATGTACTATTCTGTTATATGGATCTGGAGTAGGAGAATCTGTCAGAATTTAGCTGTAACATTTCCAGAGCCATGTAGTTGGGATCCTACTGAGCCTCTGCAACAGGTTTTAAGGTAAAGAAAGAACTTTTCTCCCCACAGGTAGTACTGTTTGAAAAATATATTTAAATGAATTATAATTATGACAGTGCAGGAAAAAAATTAAGAGTTGATAGTCAAGCAGCATCTCTATGCTAGGCTTGACAGATCTACTCACTTTGCCAAATGGGAAACTTCTCCTAGAAACTGGGTTTTTAACAAAGTTGAGCTTTCATTTTACAAAAGATATATTTCTGGCCCTTATAATAGCACAGGAAGAAGGAACTTTTTGCATATGAATCAAATATAAATCTTTATGGAGATCACCCAGAACAGTGGCAGTATGAACTACCCAAGATGCAGATCCTGACCCCGGTGGCAATTTGGCAGTCTGAGAAGCTAAGTTCTGTGTTTGAGTTCTCTGAAACTAAAGTAAAAATATCATTCCTCTTATACCTGTCCATTCATCTCTTTTGATCATTCTGCAACAGTGCTGCTGTTCTATGGGAGTCTATCTAGGCTTATGACAAAAGTAGCCTCCGTGTTACTGAAGCATGCTCTCCGTGGGCAGGAGTAGAGGAATGCCACCTTGAAATATCTGTCAGCTTGTTTCTATAAGGTGTTTTCTATGCAATCTCTCCTCATCCTTCAGAAGCCAGAGCTTCTAGGAGGCTTCAGCTATCCCCTCATAGCAAGAAGGGTAAATATGTAATGACTTCCTTCATAATTGTTCAAAGCGTTTTTTTATGCATACTAATTAAAATACCATTTTGCATTCCTTGTATTGAGACCTTTTCTCAGTTTATCAGTTGACCTTGTTATTTAAAGGTTTTTCAGAATTCATATTTCTATTTTAAAACCTTTTCACTGACCCTGCATTATAATTCTCTCTCAGCCCAAACCAAATATAAGAGGCTTAAAAATGTAACCTGATTATTCCCTTGTTAAACCATACCATGGCAACTTGAAAATTGGTCAGTGGCAGGCAAATTTAAATTCTCTTAAGTAGCTCTTACCATTGTTATCTCCTAGTAAATAAGATAATTTATTTAAAAACAAATTATTACTTTACTATTGGTTTTGTGTAAGGAAACTGTACAATATAATAGGATATGAACCATTACCTCTCAGAATGATAGCACCTGACAGTTATGAACACTTTTCCTCCTTAGTTCTGTCTAGATCTTTTTTCAAATATTTGTGTTTAATTTTAATTTTCTCAGTATATTATGTCTTTTCTTTCCCATGGGTTGGTTGATCACAACAAACTAAAAATTAGTCTTGTAATATTAATTCTTGTTTTTTAGGTCGTTCGTCCCTCTTCCCAATAGATGATGGTTTGCTGGACGATGGTCATAGTGATCAAGTTGGTGTCCTGAATTCACCTACATGCTATTCAGCTCATCAGAATGGAGAACGGATAGAACGTTTTTCCCGCAAAGTGTTTGTTGGAGGTCTTCCACCAGACATTGATGAAGGTGAGATGGCTGAAAGCAAACAGAACTTGGTTTGGGAAGTGAGAAAAACAGCTTTTTCTTTTTAGGTTATTAATTTAAAGAATGGAAATTACAGGGAGTCTCAAAAAATTCCTAGTGAGAGTTCAACTTTGATTCATTTCATTGGAGGGGTTGCACTTTTTTGAATCAGGACATGAAAGTAATCTGTGTTTAAATTACGTTTAACTGAGAAAATTGCACGTAACATTTTCTGTAAAAAAAAAAAAAAAAAAAAAAAAAAAAAAAAAAAAAAAGAATACTAAGTTATAAAAATTGTACACAGGATGAAGCCAGAGTTTTTTTGTGTTAGTTATCACAGCTGCTCAGTATTTGTATTACTGCAATTTTATCTCAATTAATTGGAGAGTTCAGAATTGAATAATAATATGCATAAGTAACCCATCAAGTGTTCACTGTCAAAATGGCCTCTTGTACCTCAAGCTACTTCAAAAGTTTGGGTATTTTGTTTGGTTTGCTCCTAAACTTTGGTTCTTCCTCTCTTGCCATTCTCCCTACAACTCAAGATCACTACTACATGGTAATGCAAAGCAGTATGCTATTAAAATAATCAAAGTATGGGTTATATATTATCATGAACTATGACATGAGTAGTATCATCTAGATGTTCTGGTGTTATGTTTCATTTAATCTAGTACTTACAGCTTTGTAGGTTTCAGAGTTCAGATTCTACTACAGTGTCAGGGTTACAACCCATGTTTATGTTACAGTGGTAGAGTGGAGATTGTTTTTCAAATTTTATATTATAATTTAGGTCTCCTCTATTGGCTATTTAAGCAAATCATTTCTATATAGAAAATAGAAAAGAACCCTGGCTTATTGAAGCATTTCTTTTTCAATAAATAATACTGTAAAAAAATATGTAAGCTATGGATGAGTATGTAGAAGCATCTGCTTTTGTTCGCTCCCTCTGTTCCACTAGTATAAAATACAAATTAAATTGTACATTACTTTTATACTGAATTGCACTCGTAATTGAGTATCAGCTTAACCAAGCATCTCAAATCTGTTTATAGACACAGTTGTTATCCTCACTTATGCATAGGAAAATCAAGGTACAGTTTAAGTGACTTTTCCAATGTCAGGAGCCAGTGACACAGAACACTTTGTAATACGCTGAATATAAAGTGCGCTACATAAAAAAATCAAATACTTTCTGTTATATTTAGAACATATTTGCTAATGCAGCTTATTGCTGATGTATAGTATTCTTGCTATTCTTTAATACTTGGCATCTCCTGAGCAGATAAGTACTTAATTATATACTAGTTTTGTAATGTAAACTGATGTCCATTTAGTAGGTTGAAATTAAAACCTAGCATAGATGTTTGTACAAAATGAGTTTGAAGAAGTTCGTTGAATGACAGTAACTATGGAAAGCGATATGCTTTGATTTCATCTACATTATGATGATGCCTTCTGCAACTTCTGTTGGATTATTCATTTACTTCAGGTTTGTACTCTAGTCTGCAACCAGAGTTTTCTGCATAAAGCTCCCATAGTTTCTACTTCCAATCCTAAATAAATGGAAAGAGCATTTTTCTCTGCTATTTGTTCGAGCCAGCAAGAGGACTTAAAATGTAGGTTGTACAACCTAACTGCCTATCTCTCAAAAACTGTAACTCCTTTCTGTGGGTTTTTTCCCTGACTCCCTTTGTTAAGGGCCTATAGAGGTAGGGGC